CAAAAGATCAGAATGATAACATCCATTTTGTTCTTGGCCTCAACTTGGAACCAAGCTTTCCATACAATAATTGTAGGCGCAGAATTTTTTTAAAAAAATCATCTTCACCTTCACGTTCAGGATATTTCTTCATCACGGAGGAAGACTTTCAGACAAAACTTTTAATTGTCTCTCATATGTCTGTCTTCTTTGTTGATAGATTCACTATTTTTATCAACACATGGGAGATTAGATGTTGGATCCTTGTTATTACCTAGGAAGATGATTAATTAATTTGATTTACAGTATATCCTACTTGAGTAAGGAATTCAAGATGGTGTACTTAGCGCTCCTTCCTCCAATGTTTCCTACAACGTTGTAGAAAATACAGTGAGTTTCCATGGCTGAGGGTGGATTTAAATTCAGGTGTATCTGGTCCCAATTTAATAGGGCACCACACTTGTCTCTTGCCAGCTTGTGAATGGCAGATCCACCATCTGATCTCCCATGTGTTGATAAAAATAGTGAATCTTCCAGAAGGCATTTTGTGTTGTATCCCATTTTCACTGCCATTAGAAGTGGCTGTGTGACTTCTCTAGCACAGGGGTCACCAATCTTTTGGACCTCAGGGACCACTAAATTCATAATTTTAAATCCCGCAGACCACTAATATGATCTGCATAATGACAGGCTGGGTGGGCGTGGCTAGGTGGGCGTGTGACTGGGTGGGCGTGGCCAACTCGATGTCATTCGCGTCAAGGGGCGCCTTGCTGGCCTCTCCTATCTTCTCCTCATCCCTCCCCTCCCAGCCATTCCTTGCCTCCCCGCCCAGCTCCTTAGGGCCCCAACAGGAAGGAGTTGCTGGAGCTAAGCAGCCACCACGAGAAAGAGTTGGCAAAACAGCTGGCTCAGTTCAAATTGGATCTGGCCGAGAAGGACCTCACTGAGGACTACGAGCATCGGCTTTCCAAGCAGAGGGAAGACCTGCGGGAATGCAAGGCCAGGTACTGGTGCCTGGAGGCTCAGTGGGTTGAGATGGTCAGCCAGTGCCAGACCATGAAGCAGTCCCACTGGAACGAGACCCTCCGGCTCTTCACCACCAGTGGCGCTTCCCTCCAGCCTTCACCCAAAGCCCCATACCAAGAGGCTGAAGCAGACCCCAAGTCAGAATTTCTCCCCCTCTCTGACCACACAAAAAGATCCCGAAGCGGGAGACTCTGCAGCAATACAAACGTTCATTGCATGTATCTGGCCCAGGGGCCGTAGTTTGAGGACCCCTGATTTAGTGCAATATAAAAAATGCAAATAGTTTTTCTGCAGACCACCAAAATTTTCTCGTAGACCACCAGTCTGGACCACTAGTTGGTGACCGCTGCTCTAGCACATCTAGTTCATCTTCAGTTAGAACAGGAATTGCACCCCAGATGCTTCGTAGATTAAACTAACTTCTGTCCACCGGTGGGACTGGCTCCTTCAATAAATTTCACTTGCACCTAGAAGATGTTCCTACTGATGAACGCTTTTCACAATAGTTTTTGCTATTCATGGCCTACAACCTTGGGTGTTTTTTGAACTGTGAGCCCTCAGCTGCCTAATCATTGCATTCAGGCTCACTGTTGAGACTCCTTCTATCTGCTTTGCTGAAAGGCAAATTTAATAGGCTCCTTTGAGGAATGCAGCTGCCCTTCTAACTCAGAGATAGGTGAAAGAGTTGGGCACGCTCTGCTATATACAGGTTTTTATAAGGATCAGTGCAATAACCTTATTGTCTTTTAAGTAAACTTTCCAGGCTATCCAGAATAATTTCTTCCCAATATTTTCTTAGGGATAGTAACTTGTTTCCAGCTAAAAGGCATCAAAATGTGCCGGTGTGTGGAGTGCAGCAGCAGATAATGAGTGGCATCAGCTAATCAAGTAACCGATCCCCTTTTTTTGCCTGTTTGTAATATATAATCTATGACGTTAAGGTGGTGGCACAGTGGTTAGAGGGCAGTATTGCAGGCTACTTCAACTGACTGCTAGCTGCAGTTCAGCAGATCGAATCTCACCAGCTCAAGGTTGACTTAGCCTTCCATCCTTCCGAGGTGGGTAAAATGAGGACCCAGATTGTTGGGGGCAATACGCTGACTCTGTAAACCGCTTAGAGAGGGCCGTATAAGCCAGGGTGGATTTGATTTAAATCGAGTTGATTTAAATCATGATTTAAATCATGATTTAAATCACTAGTAAAAAGGCTTGATTTAAATCAACTCGATTTAAATCATAATTTTTAAAGAGCAACTGTCATCTCTGCTACTCCTTTGACCTACTGTTGACTCATCGATAGTCCCAGTGTTGCAGAATATACAGCCTCATGCTACATCACTAAGCTCCATTTCATGCTGAATAAACTAAATTATTTATGTATCTTAAATAGAAAACTATCTTACGATAGATTTTTACCCCAAAAGTTTTTTATTAAAATAAATTCGATAAAAATAAAAAAAATCCGATTTAAATCAAAAAAATCCGATTTAAATCAAAAAAATCTGATTTTTTTGATTTTTTAAAAAAAATCATTGGTTTTTATCCACCCTGGTATAAGCACTACCAAGCGGTATATAACTCTTAAGTGCTAAGTGCTTGGCAGTGTCATAACCCATGACACTGCCAAGAAACTACACATCTTTATTCATGGAATCAGCACAAGCCAGGTTTTTTACTTTTAACATTTATACCAAAGTTATAACTTCACACGTTTTGAAATGAAAAGAAAATGCTTGTGTGGGTCAGAACTCCGAAAAGTGGGTGCGGCTTTAGCACTTTGTGAGTGAGTCAGATGTTGACTAAGCTTTTCACACGGACAATTTGGAAGAGGTCTTGCATTTTTGCTCATTCGTTTTAATGTTAGTTGAGGTGGAAAGCAGCAGGTGGAAGGTGGGAAGGAGTGATGTGTTAATTCATTTATGTACTCCGGATAGTGCTTCTCCGCTGTTGTAGATTCATGATTGCGTAGCTGCGGGCAGAGATATCTACAGAGTAGTATGGTTTAAAAAAAGGTCAAGATGACTGCCAGGAGGTTGTGACCAAAATTCTGCCCATGTGTTATATGTGATGCACACACAGACATGCACATAGACACACACACACACACACACACACACACACACACGGAGGAATTTCACTTGCATCTTGGACTTTTTGAGTTGAATGAGCAAATCTAGAACCTTTAAACCATGATGCTATCTATAGCAACCTCCTCTTTCCTGTAGAGCTTATTGTTTCAGGGTTTGATGTAGAACTTACAGTAGAGAAAGAGTCTATTGTGGCCAGAAGAGCTGGCAGCAGCGTCGGACAGTGAGGAGGTTGGGGAGGAACGTGGGCCAGTCCTGGGGGCTGGGGAAAGCTTAGACGAGGGCTCTGCGTCGGAGGCAGAGAGGGAGATAGACAGCAGTGAGGTAGAGGAACAGCTGGAGCCCGTTTCCAGTGTGCGCATGTACAGAGCTGCCAGAAGACGAGAACAACTCAGAAAACGACTTGGGAGTAAAGCTACACCTTGGAGGTTATTGGCCTCTCCCATAGGAAATAAAAGAGGAGCGAACAGGGAGGGGACTTTTGCAGGAAACAATTCATTCGTTCCGTGACTCTGAGAGAGACTGTTCCAAGTTTTGCCTTGCACTGCAGTTGGAAACAAGTTACGTGGCACCTTGCCAAACGAGATAAGGTGTGTTGAGAAATATTCCTTTGAAAAACTGTTTGGACAAACCTTGCTGACTGTGAATGAACGTAATTCACAGTCGTGTAAATAAAAGAGGTTTTGCCAATAATTCCTGCCTCCTGCTTGTTAAGGGAGCCTAGGTCAGAACAGAGTCTAAGACAACGAACCCAAACCTTTTGGGTGCCACGCAGGGGTGAAATGTAAAATTTGTTACTACCGGTTCTGTGGGCGTGGCTTGGTGGTGGTGGGGTAATGTGACTGGGTGGGCATGCCCAACTTTTTTTTTAAACTTTTCAAAGCATTTTTTCTAATGCTTTGAAAAGCCTCTGCTGATCAGGCAACTCAGCTGGGATCGTCAGAGACTTTTCAAAGCATTTTTTTTACCACCTCTTCGGCCAAGAGGTTGCAAGAAAAAAATGCTTTCAAAAGCCTCTGATGATCCCAGCTGAGCCGCGCGATCATCAGAGGCTTTTTTTTTTACTTTTAAAAGCATTTTTTTGTTGGAAGAGGGTTTGTAGAAAAAATGCTTTTAAAAGTAAAAAAAAAAAAAGCCTCTGATGATCGTGCGGCTCAGCTGGGCATGGTGGGGGGGGGGAGGGATTCTTGCTACCGGTTCTCCGAACCACCCGCCGCCATCGCTACTGGATCAGGCGATCCGGTCCGAACCGGGAGCATTTCACTCCTGGTGCCACGGACCCGTTCTGTAGAAAGCAGTTTTTCTGCAGACCGGGTGGGGGCGTGGTTTTGTGGTTCCGCATGTGCACAGGTGGCGCTTTGCTTGCTTGCGAGGACCGGTTCTTGGCAGACCGTGGACCAATGCCGGTCGATGGACTGGGGTTTGGGGACACCTGGTCTAAGAAAAGGCTTCCTAAACTCTATCCCGCTTTGCCTTTGTGAGATGCTGCTTTCACGTCAGCAGAACTGAGAATAAGGTTGGAAATCTGCATTTCAGCTAACTGTTGAAAAAAAATGATTTGAAAAAAAGCCCCAGGTCTACAAAAAATGGCATTGAAATGGCTTCCTCCTGTGGTGCGGTGACTTAGAGATGGTGCTCTCGCCTCATAATCAGGAGGCTGTGAGTTCGATCCTAGGTAGAGGCTGATATTTCTCTGTCTGGACTACACTGAGAATATATCTGCTGAAAAAAAAACCCTCTGCATTGGCAACAGGAAGGGCATCCGGCCAATAAACACTCAGCTCCATTCAGTTGCCCAGACTCCACCCCGCAAAGGATTATGGAGTCGTTAAAAGAGGATGATTGAAATGGTTTCCTCCGGAGTTATGTAGAAAAGAGTTTTTTTTTTCCCCTCCTTCTTTCCTGCAGGTTAGGCCAAAGACTCTGATCCCAGACAGCCTCCCAATTTCTCCATGCAGAGATCAACCTTCCAAGCAACCTCCAACGTTTCAGAAGGCAACAGTGGTCAGCATCAAGAACCCAACTCCTGCCCTCCCCACTGCCAATAATACTGTTAGCCATGTACAGACGTCCAGCAACCAATCACAAAGTGTCACAGAGACGGCAGCCATCTCCTCATCCCTGAATAGTGCTGGGGTAGCATATGCCATTATCTCAACATCTCCCAATAATGCAATGCCCATCAACACCAGCGCTGCTGTCTCGGTGGTTAATGACAGCATTAAAGTGCAACCACTTCTCATCAGTGCTGACAGCAAGGTAGGTTTCATTAGGGAACTGCAGACATTGCAAATGGCTAAAGTTAAGACAATATCAGGGCGTCCGATCTGAGTTTTCTCCTTAGTACAGTGATTGCCCTGATGAATAAAGTGAGAATCTTGTATGCCTCGGTAAATGGGATTCATAACCAAATCTTATCACTTGACCTCACTTGGCAGCCGTGAAGGGATTCATTCATATATCCCAGAACTGGGACCGCATGAGAGGTTAAGGGTAAACTGGCTTGCAAGCTAAGCAAGAGAGCTTTCGCAGAATTGGCATACTCATTATTGCCTTTCAGGTGTGGTATTCAGATGGGGGCCGAGCGTCCAGAAACGTCTTTCATTGCAAACCAGTTAAGAGGCCATAATGATAATCGGATCAAGATGCTATCAAAGCAAAATTGGCCCTTAAAATTAACAGGAAACAGATGCAAAGAACAGAGCTGATGTAACTGTTAAGAATCCAAAGGGAATGTCAATACCTCCGTGTATTTCGCTGTGCCCTCAAGACCCTGCTGTTCCACCAGGCCGGGCTATCAATGTAAGAGCCTTGGTAGTGCAGTGGTTTAAGGCACCCTGTTATTAAGCTGGTTATTAAGACCAGATGCCTGCAATTTCTGCAGGTTCGAATCTCGCCAAGGCTCAAGGTTGACTCAGCCTTCCGTCCTTTCTAAGGTAGGTAAATTGAGGACCTAGTTGTGGGGGCAATAAGCTGACTGTATAAATATACAAAAGGATGAAGGCTATTGCTTAACACATTGTAAGCCGCCCTGAGTCTCCGGAGAAGGGCGGCATATAAATCAAAAAATAAAAATAAATAAAATAAATAAATAATAAATAATGATTTTAAATTAGGTGTTTTAAATTTTGGGGGTTTTAAATTTGAGCCGAAACTATTTAATAATTTTAATTATTTTTAATTGATGTTTGTCTTTGTGCTTTTAATAGGCTGTACACCGCCCTGAGTCCTCCGGGAGAAGGGCGGTATAGAAATAAAAATTATTATTATTATTATTATTATTATTATTATTATTATTATTATTATAATAATTATTATTATTCAATGGGGAATGTGACTCCCAACAGAAGAGATATCTCCATCATATCCAGGACTCCTTGGATGGTCTCTTAGTTTCATCTCTTAGATGCTTTTAGAGCACTCTTTCCTCAATTTCTTTTGTAGTTCACTCTCATCTAGTCCTTTATTGATTCCTGATACCGTGTTTCCCCCCAAAAATAAGACATGTCCAGATAATAAGCCCAATCAGGCTTTCAGTGCATGTGATAATATAAGCCACCCCCACAAAATAAGCCTCCCCCCCCCACCAACTACTTACATGCGTGCGCAGCCAGTCCCCGCCATTTCCTCTGGTTGCTTGCCATGCAACCAAAATGAGTTGAGGAGGTGAGGCTGGAGGGGGGAAGGGAGGGACATGCCCTCCCCTTCCTGTTCTTCGCGCCGGCCGAGTGGCCCAACACGTCCCAACCCCAATGGCAACAGCAGCCTGGCTGCTTCCCTTCCACGCCGTCTCTTTATTGAGAGGGGTGGCAGGTGGGGCGGGGGAGAAGCAAAACACGTGGAGCGAGACGTGGCTCCCCTTGCCGTCTCTTCTCCTTCCCCTCGCTGGACATGGCAGGGCTCCTGCCCCTTGCTTAGCCACCCGCCCCCCTTTAGGGAGGAGCAATTTGGGGTGGCGGATGGGGCGGGCGAGAAGGCAGGCACCACCTGGAGGCTGAGGAGCAGTGGTGAAATCCACATTTTTTTTACTACCGGTTATGTGGGTGTGGCTTGGTGGGCGTGGTGGGGCTTCGTGGGCGTGGCAGGGGAAGGATACTGCAAAATCTCCATTCCCACCCCACTCCAGGGAAAGGATACTGCAAAATCCTCATTCCCTCCCCACTGCTGGGGGAAGGATATTGCAAAATCTCCATTCCCACCCCACTCTGGGGCCAGGCAGAGGTGGTATTTTGCCGGTTTCTCCAAACTATTCAAAATTTCTGCTACCGTCTCCTTCTTCTCCAGAACCTGCTGGATTTCACCCCTGCCGAGGAGGCCAAAAACAGGATGTGTGGAGGCCCTGGGAGGCCAAATCAGGGCCGTTTTTAGCCTCCAGAGAGAGAGGGAGGGAGACACACACACACACACACACACACAAGTCCCTCACCTCCCCCCCCCCAAGGCAGCTACATCCCTTCACTAACCTTTCCATCCCCAGGAGCATAACAAATTGAAGTTTAATTTGTGTGTATTGTTTAATGGACTGCTAAATTGTCCACACCCCACCTAGTCACATGACCACCTAGTCACACCCACCCAGTCACATGACCACCCAGCAGGTCCGGGGCCCCCAACATCAGTCTGAGGTACCGTGAATTGGCCTCCCTGTTTAAAAAGTTTGAGGATCCCTGCTGTAGCCCCTCTTCTGACCTTGAAAAGCTCAACAATTCAAGCCTTGGCAATACTTAGGCGATAATCGGGCAATCCCAGATTGCAGGCTAGATTGGAAAGCCCAAAAATACTTCAGAGAAGTCAGTGGGAAGCCACTTTCCTGTTGTTGTCAAAAAGCAAACAAAGCCTACATAAATGAAATTGTCAGCTCAACTCAAGGGATACTTTTATAGGATGCTGACCTGACATTAAAATCTTATTACAATTTACGAGTTTTTACATGTTGTATTGACAGAGTAGGCCTCGGCTTAAAGGCTTTGCAGTTCCCCTAGCCAAGAATTAATAACTTTAATTCTGGCTAGGGAATTCTGTGAGTTGAAGGTTTCACATCTGGAAATTGTCAACATTGGGAAATACCTTCCTTTCCTTTAGCTATGCGCATAATGATTATGTTCACGTCTTATTTTCACCTGTCTCTTGATTTTTCAGGTCATCATCATTCAACCTAAAGTTCAAACTCAGACAGAAAATAAAGTGGAGATAAAGAAACCTGCTGAAGAGTCAACTCAGGGACCTGCTACCAAAAAGAAAAAAGATGAAAATCCAGAGGTAAAAAGACTTCATTATTTTGAAAAACATAATATATGCTTGTTGTGTACATCTCTATCATCTTCATCAATCTTCATCATCATCATTTCAGCCATTGTCTTATCCACTGCAGGATGAAGGCCTCTTCTGCATGTTTCCAACCTATATGGTCCTGAGCTTTCTTTTGCCAATTGGGCTCACAATACTTGCTGATGTCGTTGATCCATCTTGTTTTAAGTTCTCCTTCGTGGACGCTTTTAATCAAGTGGGATCCATTCTACCACTGCCTTGGTTCACCTGCCATTAATCCTTTTTTGCTGTGTGACCAGCCCATTTCCATTTCAGTTATTTTATTTATTATTATAACACCAACGCAATTATTAAATTTGCAGATGACACAACAGTGGTGGGGCTCATTAATAAGAACAATGAGTCTGCTTATAGAAAGGAAGTACAAGGGCTGACATTGTGGTAGAAAGAAAACAATCTTACACTTAACACCAAAAAAACTAAAGAACTTATAATTGACTTCAGGAGGAAGAGAGATGTACATTTACCATTGTACATAAATGGTGAGGAGGTGGAGAGGGTTGGTAGTTTTAAATTTCTGGGCATTTATATCTTGAAGGACTTCTCATGGACTATGAATGTTAACATGCTTGCGAAGAAGGCACAGAAGAGGCTGTACTTCCTGAGAAATGCTCAGGAAGATAAATCTATCTCAGCATCTACTTCTGTCCTACTATCGCAGCACCATTGAGAGTGTCCTGACATACGGCATTCTTGCATGGTATGGGAGCAGCTCTGTAGCGGACAAAAACGCTCTACAGAGAATCATTAAAACTGTCCAGAATATTATCGGACTCCAGCTACCAGCCCTGGACAACATCTTCGAATCTCGCTGTTTGAGGAAGTTGCATAACATTCTCAGAGACTCTTCCCACCCTGCTTACAATCTTTTTGGACTGTTGCCTTCTGGCAGAAGATACAGAACAATTAAAACTCAGACCACACGTTTTCTGAATAGTTTTTATCCCCGAGCTATAATTGCACTCAACAATGAACTAAAGGGCCACCATCAGTGAGCTGTTGAACAGTATTACTTGGTCTGTTGGGTGGATGTTTGGGTGATTTAGGGGTGGGGAATTGTGGTGGGTGGGAGTGTGTTGGACCTGGTCTTTGGGTGTTAAGTGAATTTCGTTGTATGTGTATACTGTGTATACACATACAATGACAATAAAGTTTATTTATGTAGAGAGCGAGTTTGGTCTAGTGGTTAAGACACCAGGCTAGAGAATGAGAGATAATGAGTTCAGGTCCCACCTTAGGCATGAAAACCAGCTAGGTGGCTTTGGGCCAGTCACTCTGGCCCAAAGACACTCTCTTTCAGCCCAATTCACCTCAGAGTTCTTGTTGCAGGGAAAACAAATAAAATTTGCTCAAAGCCATGGGAATCATGAACATATTTATTGCATTAAGTTATCCCAGATTTAACTTCATAGATCGGAGGCAAAATTTTAGTTCTACTATGAAGAGCTATGTCATATTTTGAAAGCTGAATTAATTTCAGTCCCATAAGACAGACCAGACAGGAAAATATATGGTGGACTGGGTACTTTTTTTTAAAAAAATTTTTTTTTATTTGTTTAAAAGTACAAACAAGACAAAACAAGTAACAACAAAACATACAAGACATGTAAACAAAGAGTTCGAGTATACATTTTGTCAAAGGTATCGCAACTGTAATACATGTTCTTATTTGTGTTTTGACTCTTCCTTGTTTGGTCTTACTCATCTATCTTTATGATTCACTGTTAACTTGTGTTAGTGATTTATGTTCCTGTTTGTGTAACTCCAGATGCTCCCTATTCTTTTTTCCTTTTTCTATTTTCTAACCAAGTGTACCACTTTTCCCATACTAGATAGTAGTCATGTTCTTCTTTATCTTGTAGTTCCTTTGTGAGTCTGTCCATTTCTGCACATTCCATGATTTTACTAATTACTCTATCTTCTGTTGGTGTGTCACTACTCTTCCAATTTTGTGCAAAAATTATTCGTGCTGCTGTTGTTATATGAATGATTAAGTATTTTATTTCCTTTTCATATTGTCCATTTATTATACCTAATAGAAAGGTTTCCGGCCTCATTTCTAATCTTCGTTGTGTGATTTCTTCTACTTGTGTTCTGATCATTTGCCAGTATTGTTTTGTTTTGGGGCAGGTCCACCACATGTGATAGTAGGTTCCTTTATAAAGTTTACATTTCCAGCATGTTGGAAAGGTGCTGGGAAACATTCTTGCCAGTCTGGCCGGTGGGAGGTGCCATCTGTAGAACATTTTGTACAGATTCTCCTTATATGGTACTGACATTGTTAATTTATAATTTATTGTCCATAGTTTTTCCCAATTATCTAATTGAATATTGTAGCCAAAATTCTTTGCCCAAGTTATCATGTTTTCTTTGATCACCTCTTCTTCCAATTTGTATCCTCGTAAATAATTATATACTTTTTTAATCAATTTATCCTGTGATCCTTGTAAAATTTTATCTAATTCGTATTGGCCTTTTTGGAATCCAAATTGAGCCAAATCTTTCTTATATTTTGATTTTATTTGTAGATATGGCCACCAGTCGATATCCATACCCATCTCCTTCAATTCTTCTCTTGTTCTTAATTCCCCTCGGTTATTTAGTAAATCTTTGTAAGTTCTCATTTTGGTGATGACCATAGCATTGGGATAGATCTGGGCTTCCATGGTTGATAGCCATTCCGGGATCTTATTGTAGTGTGTTTTTTTGATGCCCTGCCATGTCTGATATAGTGCTTGTCTGACGATGTGCCTCTGAAAATATCCATGCTGTTTATCGGTGCCCTTCCACAGAAATGCATGCCATCCTCATTGTAGGTCAAATCCTTCCAAAGTCAATTATCTTTTATTTTTGAGTTCCATCCATTCCTTGATCCAAATTAGTGCTGATGCTTTATAATATGTCTCCCAGTCCAGTAGTGCCAGTCCTCCTCTTTCTCTTGTATCCTGTAGATGTTTTGCTTTAAATCTTGCTTTCTTCCCTTGCCATATGTAATCTGCTATTAATTTATTAAAATCCTTAAAGAAGTTCTTTCCTGGTTTTATTGGAATCACTTGGAATAAGTATAAAATTCTAGGTAGAACATTCATTTTAATTGAGGCGACTTTTCCCAAAAGCGATAATTGTAGTTTTTTTTCCAAATTTCTAAATCTTTTTTAATTTGTCTTGCCAATTTATCATAATTATCTTCTCTAATTGATGAGTTTTTATTGGTGAGCCATATTCCTAGGTATTTTACCTTCTTTGTCGTTTGTATATCTAATTGGTCTTCTAATTCTTTTTCTTGTTGATTAGTAAGATTTTTTGTTAGCATCTTTGCTTTTTGTTTATTGACTTTGAGTCCCGCTACACTCCCGTATTTTTCTATTTTGTCTAATAATTTAGTGCCAGTTGTTATCGGTTGTTCTATGATGAATACCATGTCATCGGCGAAGGCTTGGAGTTTGTATTCTTCCCCTTTGATTTTCAGACCTTTTATTTCTTTATCTCTTCTGATCTCCTTTAAGAGAATTTCTAAGGCTAATATGAATAACAGGCGGGACAGAGGGCACCCCTGTCTCACTCTTTTTGATATTGGAAATTGTTCCGTCAAGTCGCCATTTATTATTATTTTTGCTGTTTGGGAGGAGTAAATTTTCTTTATCATATTTATGAGTTTGTTGCTGAATTTCATAGCTTCCAATTGCAATACAAGAAATCTCCAATTTAGATTGTCGAATGCCTTCTGTGCATCTAAAAAAATTAGGGCCGCTTGTTTATCTGAATTTATTTAATAATATTCTAATACGTCCATTATTAATCTCATATTGTTTTTTATCTGTCTCTTTGGGATAAAGCCATTTTGATCGGGATGAATATATTTGTTAATTATTTTCTTGAGTCGTTCTGTGATAATCAATGTAAATAATTTGTAGTCCACATTTAAAAGTGATATCGGTCTGTAATTTTTAATATGCGTGTGGTCTGTCTCTTCTTTTGGTATCAGTGTAATGATGGCCTCTGTCCAGGAATTAGGAATTATAAATTCCAGAAGTGCATCATTCAGGACTTCAAGTAAAATTTCATCTATTACATGTTGGCAAGATTTGTAAAACTCTGCAGGTATACCATCCGGTCCCGGGGTTTTATTTGTTTTTTGTTTTTTTCTGGCCTCTGTTAACTCCATCATCATAATTGGTCTGGTGGACTGGGTACTTATTATGCTCTAAACCGCCCAGAGTCACTGTAGCATAAAAATGTAATAACAAAATAAATAAAATTAAAAAGGCCAGAACTATATTTTATTTATTTTTATTGTATAAAAACATTTTTGCCAATTTGATTGTGGTGCCTTTCTCCTTATATTACAATGAATCAAAGAGGTACCTGTCTAAACCAGCGCTGAACTTTATTTTATTTTTCAGGACTTAAAGTATGCTTCCACTCCCTTTACCTAGGTGCAGGTTCTTGCATCTTTTTGTAAATGTCACCTCTCTTACTTTTTACAATAAAAAAATCTAATCTACACATAACCAGAAACATATTTAAAATTAACTGATATTAATATAAGACTTGAAGCTCACAAAAAACTCTTTAGTAGCCTATTATTTGTCTGGATCTTCATATTTAAAGTAATATATATATATAAAGTATGTATACATACATACATACATACATACATATATATATATATATATATATGTATGTATGTATGTATATATGTATATATGTAGATGTATGTATGTATGTACATACATATATACAAAATAGGTATGTATGTATATGTATATATTTAAAATTCATTATGTATGACTTTTGACTAACTAAATAATAAGCATATTGTTGATACATGGATTGTACCAAGTTATAACTTGTCCCTTATTGAGTAGCTTAGCCCTCCCAAAGGATTAATGTCTTGACACTGTTGGACTATTCAGTAGGTTCAGTGACCC